TGCTGAAGAAGCCTTTGCCCATAGGAGTTCTGGCCCTACGGGCCAACCTCTCCATCGCCTATGCCTGCGAGACAGAGAGTCTCGCTCTCGCCGAAGCTACCGACCTCTCCATCCAGATGGCCAGTATGGTCACTGAAGCCAAAATGCTGCCCGCCAACAACATGGAGATACCAGAGCTAGAACCTCCCCGTGCCTCCGCCAAGTCCAAGGAAGTGAAGGAGGTCGGCCTCGGGCTCGAGGACCCCTCCAAGACCGTGAAGATTGGGGCTCACCTTGACCCCAAATAGGAAGGCATGCTCGTCTCCTTCCTACGTGCCAACACCAACATGTTTGCTTGGAAACCTGCAGACATGCCTGGGGTACCATGAGAGAAGATCGAGCACTCCTTGAATGTCTCGCCGAAGGCCAAACCGATCAAGCAGAAACTTTGCCGATTCGCGCTAGACAAGAAGGAGGCGATTAGGGTAGAAATAAAATGGCTCTTAGCTGCCGGATTTATAAAAGAAGTGTATCATCCTGAGTGGTTAGCAAACCCTATTCTCATTTGAAAAAAGAATAAAGAATGGAGAATGTGCGTTGATTACACTGATCTTAACAAACACTGCCTAAAGACCCCTTCGGTGTGCCTCAGATAGACGAGGTTGTAGACTCCACCGCAGGCTACGAACTGCTCTCATTCCTTGACTGTTACTCCGGATACCACCAGATCTCCCTCAAGAAAGAAGATCAGATCAAGACATCGTTCATCATGCCCTTCGGTGCGTATTGCTATACCACCATGTCCTTTAGACTAAAGAATGCCAGGGCAACTTATCAATGGGCTATCCAGATGTGCCTCGATCAACAGATTGGCCACAACATCGAAGCTTACATCGACGATGTGGTCATCAAGTCCAAGACCGCCAATGATCTTATCACTGATCTTGAAGAAATGTTCACCAATCTAAAAAGATACCGATGGAAGCTGAACCCTTCAAAGTGCATCTTTGGAGTTCCATCCGATATACTCCTGGGCTACATTGTCAGCGCATGAGGCATAGAGCCCAATCCCGACAAGGTTTCCGCCATCACCAACATGAAATGGCCAACATGCATCAAGGATATACAGAAGCTTACTGGCTGCATGGCTACCTTAATCCACTTCATATCGCGCCTCGATGAAAAAGGTTTACCTTTCTTCAAACTCCTCAAGGCCTCCGAGCGCTTTTCCTGGTCGGAAGAGGCAGACGCAGCTTTCGAGCAGCTTAAGTTGTTCCTAACAAAGCCTTTGATCATGACGGTGCCACGACCAGACGAGACTCTCCTAATCTATATCGCCGCTACTTCTCGCGTTGTCAGCACAGCAATTGTGGTCGAACGTGAGGATGCTGGACACGCATATAAGGTGCAACATCCAGTATATTTCATCAGTGAGGTTCTTAGCGAGCCCAAGACTCATTATCCTCAGGTCCAGAAGTTGTTGTACACCGTTCTGATTACGTCGCACAAGCTCCACCATTACTTCGAGTATTACAAGATCGCCGTGGTCACCGAGTTCCCTCTAGGGGACATTCTCCACAACAAAGAGGACAACGGCCGTATAATCAAGTGGGCTGTCAAGCTCAGCACTTACTCCATTGAATTCAGAAGCAGTCCCACGATCAAGTCTCAGGCGCTCGCTGATTTTGTCGCTGAGTGGACCGAGATCTAGGAGCCCATCGCCGCCACTTGCCCCGAGCACTACGTGATGTACTTCGACGGCGCCCTTAATATCAACGGTGCTGGTGTGGGCATTCTATTCATTACGCCGACCAAGGATAAGCTCCGATACATCCTCCGAATACACTTCGCGGCCTCCAACAACGCCGCCGAATATGAAGCATGTCTCCACGGACTCTATATAGCTGTTGAGCTCGATGTCAAACGCCTCATGGTATACGGGGACTCCGTGCTGGTCATCAACCAGCTTAACAAAGATTGGTCTTGTTCCAATGATAAGATGGATGCATATTGCACCAAAATTAGGAAGCTTGAAGGGAAGTTCTACGGTATCGAGTACCACCACGTGGTACGTGACCAAAATCAGATCGCCGATTACTTGTCCAAGTTGGGCTCCTCTCGCGCTGCGATCCTACCGAGGGTTTTCATTCAAGATCTTCTAGCGCCATCCATTAAGGATGAAAAGGAAATTCAGGAAGTTCCCCCTACCGAGTAGCTGGTACTCATGGTACCTTTGCCGGTCGCCGATTGGAGGGAACAGTTCATCAAGTACCTCTCCAGCGCCGAAGTACCCGCCGATAAGATTGAAACCGAACGCCTAACCCGTCGAAGCAAACATTACGTGCTGGTGGACGGCAACTTGATGAGGAAAAGTGCTAGGGAAGGGATTCTGCAAAAATGCAACACCCAAGAGGACGGAGTGAAGTTACTTGTTGAAATTCACTCTAGTTCCTACGGCAACCATGCGGCATCACGAATACTGGTCGACAAAGCTTTTCGAGCAGGTTTTTACAGGCCCACGGCCATCTCCGATGCAGAAGACCTCGTCCGACGTTGTGAAGGATGCCAATTTTTCGCCAAGCAAATACACGTACCGGCACAAGAGCTGCATGTTGGGAGTATGCCCTAGAGATAATCATAGAGACGATTATATTGCCTTGTATCCATGATATATTATGAGTTCATTGAATTTCCATTAAAGACAACCTGTATCGATTAGCAATTATGTGAATTGTTTGTGAAACTCTTTTACTTGTATGGTTATTCTAATGTTGTCCTAGGACAAAGTTCGTGTGAGGACACACATGAATAATGGATCATCACATTATTAGTTGATGACTATGTTTCACAAGTCATAGACATGGAGATGTCAAACTAATAATATGGGCACATGTGTGACATGGGGCTACACTGACCCAACGTGAGATGTTGTTATTATCTCTATTCACATCATGTACGTTATGTCCTTAGACCTGAGATTGTTGTATGTATTCAAGATGAAAAATGACCTACTCAGGGACTATCAAACGCTACTCCGTAATAGGGTAGTTATAAAGGTGGTTTTTTGGGTTTGTCGGAAACATGCTATGAGACATAGACAATCAAGATGGAATTTGTCCCTCTCTATATGAGAGAGATATCACTGGATCACTCTAATGATTAGATCAAGAAATGCATGGCCGTGCTTGGGTTAAGTGTTAACCTATGAGTTGGACCAAATATCGTGAGGCAAGGGAATAACAAGTATGTGGTTTTGTGGTGGTTCGTCTGATATGATCTTTGCGTACGCATAGGAGTTGACATGCCTTGCTAGAGGCCGCTATCAACTAATGGCCGAGTAGGAGTACTCGGGCCATGTCTATGTGTGCGTGAACCCATAGGGTCGCACGCTTAAGGGGCTAGAACCCTAATTCGGATTGGATCCGAGTTAGACAAGGCTTAGGGTTACTAATGGGCCTCCAACTCGGGAGCTCATTAGGGACGCCTATAAATAAGTAGGGTGGGCAACGGGGCTAGGATCCATGCTATTTGGCAGCCGCCGCCATCCATCCTACGCCCACGCCTGCTGCTCCTCGTGGACCTAGATCCTGGTTTATGAGGTCAATTTTTTTTTGTTTTTCGGCTAGCGTAGCATCCTCATAACCCTACAGTGGTATCAGAGCCGGTTACTGTGTTGTTATAGGTTTGGATGAGTGCGTATGGAGATATGCGCGGTTGTAGATGAGTCTCTGATCATGGTTCGTGATTTTACCGTGTTGGTCTTGTAACGATCTACTCGTACCGGTCGGAATTCCGCCATCCGAGTTAAGTGATACATGTAAATCCAGTCATGGCAAGATGGAGATCAATTAAATTGATCAAATCAAACCTAGGTCAAGTGCCGAGCGCATGTGATGCGCAGCGGTGATAGATTGGATCTACTACCGGGCGTCGGGGTGCAAGAAAAAAATGATGTTCGGTAAAACAGCCATAACTTTTGCATACGACCTCAAATTGAGACGAACTCTAAACGAAAATTGTAGAGAAATTTTTTTACATCCGATTCTCACCCCTTCGGCGGTTTCGCTGAATTTAGATTTGTGAAAACGGCCGGGAAGATGGTGTTTTCGGCGTTTTAGGATTAGACGTCGGAATCGGTTAACTCTGTTTTGCAGGAATTTATGAGTGGTATAGCCCTTATGTGTATGTGATGCATGTATGTAATTAATTCATGGCATGCATGTCGTGAGTATGACAATATGGCTGGAGCCACAAAGATATTGTCATTTTGATGTAATGGCCTACGTGCCAAACTGTGATGATCCTATCCGTGACTATGTAATTTTCTTCACTGCCTTGCGTTAGTGATAGCTAGTCTTGGTGGACTCATCACTGAAGGATGGCATACATGGATCATGGAGATGGAGAAAATCATGAGGAACAGTTCGATGGAGATGGAGATCCCCAAAGGAACAATGGGCTATACCATGTCATATCTGTGTTAATGCCGTTCTTACTATGTTCTACTTTCACGTGCGATAATGTTTTTGTCTACATGCGATGGTGAAGTAGAACGATCCCTCGACAATGTTTAAGTTAAAATGCTTCCCCAAACCTTGCACTGTCATGTGTCTTGTACAATCGGTGGTGGATCTATGAAATTAGGGTGCCACTGGTTTTCCTTGATTAGACAGGTTCGTATCGGATACTTACAATAGAAGGGTTGGTTACTTGGACAAGGTCATCCTAACGGTTAGGGACCTTGGAGCATGAGTAGTTGGGCACCAAAGCATAGAGATGCTACCCAACAACAAGAGTCATATGTGATATGATTAGCAAAGATTTGCTTACCAATCTACCATGTCTTCTAGCGGTGATGCTAAAGCTCACTAGTAGACTTGTTAGTTGTGGGTCTTGAATCACTAAGTTTCAAGAGAGGGATATTGATTTTAGTGGGAGTAGATTCTATTAAAGGTTTAATATTGTTTACTCTATCTTGGATACATTGTCTTAGTATTTTGCATTACTTTTGTTGTAGACAAATGGCGCCTAGCAATCAACCATTTATTTTGCGTTCAATTCTTGAGAAAGATAAGTTGAATGGAACAAACTATGCAGATTGGATCTGCAACCTGAGAATTGTTCTGAGGGCTGAGAAAAAGGAAGAAATTCTAGACACCCCATTACCAGAAGAGCCTACTGATAATACACCTGCTGCAGAGAAAAATGCTTACAAGAGAGCATGTGATGCTGATCTTGAAGTGAGTTGCCTTATGCTTGCTTGTATGGAACCAGATCTGCAGTTGCAATTTGACAATAACCATGCAGTGCACGATATGATCGTGGCGCTCAATGATATGTTCCAGACTCAAGCCAGGACTGAAAGGTTCAATGTCTCAAAGGCTTTTGCTGAAACCAAGCTAGCAGAGGGCGCAGCAGTTGGGCCACATGTGATCAAAATGATTGGTTACACTCAGAGGTTGGAGAAGCTGGGCTTCCCAATTGGCCCTGAATTAGCTACTGATTTTATTCTCGTGTCTCTTCCACCCAGCTATGGAAATTTCATCGTGAACTACCATATGCATGGGGCGGAGAAGGGCTTGAATGAATTATGTGGCAGCTTAAAACAACAGAGACTGATATCAAGAAAGGTGCTGGCAGTAGCCATGTGATGGCGGTCCAAAACAAGCCTAAGTTTAAGAAGCAGGGCAATTCTTGGAAGAAGAAAAAGGGCAAGGCTAAAGATGAGATCTCTAAGCCAAACCCACCTACGCCCAAGGCTGGACCACCTGCTGATGCTGAGTGCTTTCATTGTCGTGGGAAAGGTCACTAGAAGAGGAACTGCAAGCTGTACCTAAAATCCATAAAGGATCGCGACAGTAAAGGTACTCCTGCAGCTTGTACACTTGTTGTTTATGTTACGGACATTTTCCTTGCTAATTCTTATATTAATTCTTGGGTATTTGATACCGGATCGGTTGCTCATATTTGCAATACGATGTAGGGAATGATAAGAAGTAGAAGCGTGGAAAAGGGAGAAGTTGATTTCCACGTGGGCAATAATGCAAGAGTTGCTGCGTTGAACATCGGGACAATGCAACTCCACCTCCCATCAGGATTTATTATGGAGTTGAATAATTGTTATTTTGTTCCTAGTTTAAGTCGAAACATTGTGTCACTTTCATGTTTGATGAAGGATGGTTATTCATTTGCGAGTAAAGACAATGGTTGTGTGATCTCTAAAAATGGCATGTTTGTGGCTTCTGCATCCATTGTGAATGGGTTATTTATTTTAAATCTTGAAGATGCTCATGTCTATAATATAAGTGCTAAAAAGCCTCGGCTTAATGAGTTAAGTCCTACCTATATGTGGCATTGTTGTTTAGGTCATATAAGTGAGAATCGCATGAAGAGGCTCCATTCTGATGGGCTTTTAACTTCGTTTGATTTTGAATCATACGAGACATGTGAGGCTTGCCTGCTGGGCAAGATGACCAAGACGCCTTTCACAGGTTTTCCTGAGAGGGCGATAGACTTGCTGGAACTCATACATACTGATGTGTGCGGACCAATGAGTACGACAGCAAGAGGCGGATTCCAATAATTCATAACCTTCACTGATGACTTTAGTAGATATGGCTATGTCTACTTAATGAGACATAAGTCTGAGACATTTGAAAAGTTCAAGGAGTTTCAGAGTGAAGTAGAGAATCAACGTGGCAAGAAAATTAAGGCTTTGTGATTTGATCATGGAGGTGAATATTTGAGCCACGAGTTTAGCAATCATCTAAAGAGTTCTGGAATTGTTCCACAGCTTACGCCACCTGGAACGCCTTAGAGAAATGGCGTGTACGAGCGACGTAATCGAACTTTGTTGGACATGGTTCGGTCTATGATCAGCCAGTCAGACCTACCGTTATCATTTTGGGGATACGCTCTAGAAACAGCCGCTTTCACATTGAATAGGGTATCGTCTAAGTCCGTAGTTAAGACACCACATGAGATGTGGACTGGTAAGAGTCCCAGTTTGTCTTTTCTAAAAATTTGGGGTTGTGAAGTTTATGTCAAACAACTTATGATAGATAAACTAACACCCAAGTCAGACAAATGCTTTTTCGTGGGATATCCGAAGGAAACTTTAGGGTATTACTTCTACTACCGATCAGAGGGCAAAGTGTTTGTTGCTCAGAATGGTGTTTTCTTAGAGAAAGAGTTTCTCAAAAAAGAGAAAAGTGGACAGAAGGTGCATCTTGAAGAAGTTCAAGATGAGCTAGTTGGGAAGGACTCTATGAGTGATGCTAATGTAGCAGAACAAGTTGAGATACCCGTGGCAATAGAAACACCGCCACAACCACGAAGGTCAGCAAGAATCCGTGAGTTGCGTGGGGATTTGTTATTGTTAGACGATGATGAACCTACGACTTATGAGGAAGCAATGATGGACCCAGATTCTGAGAAATGGCAAAGTGCCATGAGATCCAAGATAGATTCCATGGGAAACAATCAAGTTTGGAACTTGGTTGACCCGCCTGATGGGGTTAGACCCATAGAGTGCAAATGGATCTATAAAAAGAAAAATGATATGGATGGAAATGCACACATCTATAAAGCTCAACTTGTTGCAAAGGGTTTTCAGCAAGTTCAAGGAATTGACTACGATGAGACCTTCTCGCCGGTAGCGATGCTTAAATCTATCCGGATCATTCTAGCAATAACTGCTTATTTCGATTATGAGATATGGCAGATGGATGTTAAAACAACCTTTCTAAATGGAAATTTGGATGAGGACGTGTATATGATACAGCCCGAAGGCTTTGTTGATCCAAACAATGCTAGAAAAATTTACAAGCTTCAGAAATCCATTTATGGGTTAAAGCAAGCATCTCGGAGTTGGAACATTCATTTTGATGAAGTGGTCAAAGGGTTTGGCTTCCGTTAGAATGAAGAAGAACCTTGTGTTTACAAGAAGGAAAGTGGGAGCGCTGTTGTATTTCTGATCTTGTATGTGGATGACATATTATTGATTGGGAATGACATTCCTATGTTGCAATCCATAAAGACTTCACTGAATAATATTTTTTCTATGAAGGATTTAGGAGAAGCAGCATACATTTTGGGCATCAAGATCTATAGAGATAGATCGAAGAGGCTTGTAGGATTAAGCCAAGATACATACATTGACAAGGTGTTGAAATGGTTCAACATGGAACAGTCCAAAAAAGGGTTCTTGCCTATGTCACATGGTATGCGCTTTAGCGATAAACAGTGTCCTTCGACAGCTGATGAGCGGAAGTGCATGAGTAAGGTTCCATATGCCTCGGCAGTTGGTTCCATCATGTATGCCATGATATGTACTCACCCAGATGTCTCATATGCTCTAAGTGTTGTGAGCAGGTACCAAGCTGATCCAGGAGAGAGTCACTGGACACTTGTTAAAAACATTCTTAAGTACTTGAGAAGGACTAAAGATGTGTTCCTAATCTATGGAGGTGAGGAGGAGCTCGTTGTAAATGGTTACACCGATGCTAGCTTCCAAACTGACACGGATGATTCACAGTCTCAATCAGGTTTTGTGTTCACAATAAATGGTGGTGCTGTAAGTTGGAAAAGTTCCAAGCAGGAGACGGTGACCGATTCTACAGCAGAGGCCGAGTACATTGCAGCTTCTAGAGCTACGAAGGAAGGTGTTTGGATGAGGAGGTTCCTCATTGAACTTGGTGTGTTTCCGAATGCGTCCAGCCCATTGAATCTACATTGTGACAACAATGGGGCAATTGCGCAGGCTAAGGAGCCAAGGAATCACCAAAAGAACAAACATGTACTGCGGAGATTTCACCTCATTCGAGAGTTTGTTAGACGAGATGAGATCAAGATGTGCAAGATACACACAGATTTGAATGTTGCAGATCCTTTGACAAAGGCTCTTCCACAGCCTAAGCATGAGGCGCACATGAGAGCTATGGGTATTAGATATCTTAGAGATTAACTCTAGTGCAAGTGGGAGATTGTTGGGAGTATGCCCTAGAGATGATTATATTGCCTTGTATCCATGATATATTATGAGTTCATTGAATTTCCATTAAAGACAACCTGTATCGATTAGCAATTATGTGAATTGTTTGTGAAACTCTTTTACTTGTATGGTTATTCTAATGTTGTCCCTGGTCAGAGTTCGTGTGAGGACACACATGAATAATGGATCAGCACATTATTAGTTGATGACTATGTTTCACAAGTCATAGACATGGAGATGTCAAACTAATAATATGGGCACACGCATGACATGGGGCTGGACTGACCCAACGTGAGATGTTGTTATTATCTCTATTCACATCATGTATGTTATGTCCTTAGACCTGAGATTGTTGTATGTATTCAAGATGTGAAACGACCTACTCAGGGACTATCAAACGCTACTCCGTAATAGGGTTGTTATAAAGGTGGTTTTTCGGGTTTGTCGGGAAACATGCTATGAGACATAGGCAATCAAGATGGAATTTGCCCCTCCCTATATGAGAGAGATATCACTGGATCACTCTAATGATTAGATCAAGAAATGCATGGCCGTGCTTGGGTTAAGTGTTAACCTATGAGTTGTACCAAATATCGTGAGACAAGGGAATACCAAGTATATGGTTTTGTGGTGGTTCATCTGATATGATCTTTGCGTATGCATAGGAGTTGACATGCCTTGCTAGAGGCCGCTATCAACTAATGGCCGAGTAGGAGTACTCAGGCCATGTCTATGTGTGCATGAACCCATAGGGTCGCACGCTTAAGGGGCTAGAACCCTAATTCGGATTGGATCCAAGTTAGACAAGGCTTAGGGTTAGTAATGGGCCTCCAACTCGGAAGCTCATTAGGGACGCCTATAAATAAGTAGAGTGGGCAACAGGGCTAGGATCCACGCTATTTGGCAGCCACCGCCGCCCATCCTATGCTCGCGCCTGCTGCTCCTCGCGGACCTAGCAGTCCGGAGGCGCGACGCTTCCTCCCTGTACGTGTGGATACCTCGGAGGTGCTGCATCTGGAGCGCAAGGACAAACCGCACGAAGGGGACAGACATATGGACGACCTTGCAACAACATGGCACTGCTACGACGCGTACGACTACATCGAGTCGCTTTCGCTGCACCTGCGCGTCTAGTGGTAATCCCGTGATCTATAACTAGTAGTAGATCCTGGTTTATGAGGTCGATTTTTTTTGTTTTCCGGCTAGCATAGCATCCTCATAACCCTACACTGCAGACTATCCCGACTTCTTGGCCCTTTGCATGCTGGGTACTGGACATGATTGACCCTTTTAAGCTAGCACCAGGAGGCTTTCGGTACGTATACATCGTCATCGATAAGTTCTCTAAGTGGATTGAATATAAATCGCTCGTCTCGACTACTGCAAAGAAAGCAGTTGAGCTCTTCGAAGACATCATCCACAGATTTGGTCTCCTGAATAGCATCATCACCGACCTCGGAACTACATTTACTGGCCATCACTTTTGGGACTTCTACGAAGACCGTTGCATCTCCATCAAATACGTCTCCATTGCCCATCCTAGAGTCAACGGCTAGGTCGAACGGGTGAACGACATGATACTTGATGCCCTAAAAAGAGACTATATTAGAAAGAAGAAAAGCTCCCGGGCAGATGGCTCAAGGAGCTACCAGCTGTAGTCTGGGGACTGCGCACTCAAACTAGTCTCAGCACCAGTGTGTCTCCATACTTCTTGGTCTACAGTTCAGAAGCCATACTACCAATGGATATTGCCTTCCGAGCACCTAGGGTGGAAAATTTTGTTGAAGAGCAAGCCACAACTGTTCGGACAGAGGACATCAACAGGGCTGAGGAAGAGCGCCTAATCACTTGCGTTCGCATGGCAAAGTACCTAGAAGGCCTACGGAGGTACTACAACCGCAACGTCAAAGGTCGCTCGTTTGCTGTCGGCGATCTCGTTCTCCGAAGAAAGCAAAAAACCGAAGGGATGCACAACCTCTCCTCTCCCTGGGAAGGACCTTATGTCGTCAAAGACATTACCCAACTAGGGTCCTATCGCTTATGTGATTTAGATGGAGTCGATGTTCCTAACTCCTGGCACATCGAGCACCTCATACGTTTCTATCCCTAAAACACCCCAGATATGTATTCTCCACTTTTTGTTGAATAAAGTTTTGATCTCCATAATTTGTCTCCATTTTTTCTCCATTACGGTTTAAATCGCCACTTACGGTCGCCGGGCTATACGCCACTCCATGACGAACTTAAAACATGATCGCCGAACACGACGAGCATGTTTTCTCCAAATCGCCAATGTTTTTGCCGAACACGTTGTCTCCAAATCTCCAACATTTTTGCCGAACACGACGAGCACGTTTTCTCCAAATCGCCAATGTTTTCACCGAACATGTTTTCTCCAAATCTCCAACGTTTTCGCCGAACACGCCGAGCACATTTTCTCCAAATCGCCAACATTTTCGCCGAACACATTTTCTCCAAATCTCCAACGGTTTTGCCAAACTCGTTTTCTCCAAATCTCCAACGTTTTCGCCAAACACGTTTTCTCCAAATCACCAATTACGTTTACTCCAAATCGCCGACAATTTTTCTCCACATCTCCAAGATATTTTGCTGATCAGCGAGCCGCATACGTTTTGTTCTGTTCTCTATGGAAACGACCCAGTCTCCGATCCCTACCAAAACGTGTCATGGGCTCTGCACTCTGCGTTATGGGTGGTCGGCTACAGTTCCTTGGTCGCGCCTGTACCTCCTACATGTCCACGGGCTCCGCGCTCGACGTTAAGGACTATGGGCTGGCCAAGGCCGAGAACGCAGCTCAGAACCATGCGTTCGAACGCCAATTCTACTATGTATATCTCCAAGTTATTTCAACAACCACCGAGCAGCACACGTTCCACCTTGTTCTCTATGGTGAAGACCCAGTCTCCGATCTCTCCCTACACGTGCCACGGGCTCTGCGCTCTGCGTTATGGGTGGTCGGCTGTGGTTCCTTGGTAACGCCTGTTGTTCCTACACGTGCATGGACTCCACGCTCAATGTTATGGACTATGGGCTAGCCAAGGCCATGGGGGTCAGTAGCAGAACTAACTGCTTGAATGCTACTTATACTACGTATAATCGCGTTATGGTTAAAACTACGAGGATTTTTTTTGCCAAAATACCAGCAAACTTCATAATACATGCACCTTATGACATTTATCACGTACATAAGTGTTTTTTGCGCTATCGCGCGTTCTAACTACATTGTCTAGAAATTACAGACGATAATCTTCAAGCAGATCACCGAGCTTCGCCATCACCGCTTGTCTCGCCAAATAGGTCTATATCATTGGCTAGCATCTTCGCTGTGTCTTCCACCTCATCTTCTAGCTACAGGGTCTCCGCCTCGCTCAGCCCTTCGGCAAACCCGCCCCTTATCGATTGAAGATCGATAGTTGGGTAGTGGGACCGAACCACCGCAAGGGCATGGGTAGCAGCGGCCATAATGGCGTCACGGTTGAAGCTCTTGAAGTTCTCCCACGCTGCCTTGCACCTTTGGATGATGGTATCCGAACATTGTCGCCTGCCGTCAGGCTGAGGCGCCGATTCTAGGTCAACGTAGTCGAGCACTGGTGTAATTGCGGCAACTACAGCGTCGAAGTTATCCTTTTGGACCTGGGCTTCCTGCACCAGCACATCAAACTATGCCTTGGCTTTATGACGATAGCCTGCAAGCGTTACAAAGTTCCATCATACAATAAAACAACTCCAATAGTAATTCCGACCAGGAGGTATTCACCTTTCAGCTCCTCGGCTAGTTTTTCTGCTCGCTCTGACTCTTTTGCCTTCTCCTGTCGGATTTGCTCGACGGCCTAGCGTAGTTGGCCGAGCTCTGCATCTTGTCCTACAAGCACAACAATTATCGCCAAAAATATGGTTGTTCAGCAAATACAAAGTACATTCGCCGATACAACATACCTTTTTTCTGCTTAGATACATTTTTGAGCTGCTTGCATTTCTTTTCCAACTCCTCGGAGACACTTTTTAGTTGCTCGGACACAGTGGCCAGCTGCTTAGACATGCTCTTTAGCTGCTCAGATTCAGCTGTCAGCTGCTCGGACAGGACACCCTTCTAATATTCTAGGTCCCACGTGTTGGACTCTACAAGGTCTCGCTCGTGACGGGCCCTCTGGTAGTTCCTCTCTAGGAGAACCATCACCTCCCTGAGTTTCTCGTTCTCCTCGGCGAGGGGCTCCATCCTCTTTATCAGTTGGTGCCGCTGCTCAGCAGTCCAAGTTATCCCCTATAAGTGTACAATGCTAATGATGAACTACGATCTCCAACACCATATACGAGCATTTCAGTTGCAGTACTAACCTCGATTTGCTTCATTACTCCGGCAATGGCGGATTTCAATCTCTTCATCTCCCTAGTGGTGTTTTCCTCCTCGATAACCACCACCTCGTCGCCATGTTTGTAGATAATCCGGATGGACTGGAGTTGAGGTTCGGCATGTTCGATCTCCTCCACCTCGTCCTCTTCCACCGTGGCTTGAGGCACCATCAGGGGGCTTTGAGGTCGGACAGTGGGTCCGACCATCCCTAGCGACGCTTCAGGCAGTTCCATTCGCTCCTCAGCCGTCGTCGGATTTGCTTCCCTGGGCTCCAGCGCATCGTCGGCAACTGCAGCTTCTGCTCCTGAAGGCCCGATGGTTCCTATCGTCACCTCGGGCGTCATCGCCGACACGTCTGTTGCTTGTGCCAATGGTTCGCCGCTGCCAAGACCGCCGGTAGCGGCGGTTGACCTTTCCTCCGGCTAACGAGCACTCGGGGACTCCAGGACAGGAGCAGCCGGTGTTGCCCCTACTGTGGGTACAGGCCTCGGTGTTGCACTGCATCATATCGGCTCGTTAGTAGCCATAGAAGTTAAAGAAACCACAGTAACACTCCAAGACAAAGATACTTACGGTTTGGTCTGCCGGTTCAACTTCTTGA